AGGATTCCCGGAATACGTCGGCCCGGGTGGGTCTTCGTTATCTGGGAGGTTCGGCGGGGTTCTCGGCCGTCGGGGTCGATTTGGCCGGGTTTTTATTTTCGTTGGGAGGCCGGGTCGGGGGGGGGGGAGGGAGTCGGGGGGCGTTAAGAGTGGAGATGGGGGCGAGGTGGGGGAGAAGATGCGGTCGGTCGGTGGAGTGCGCGGGGGGTTCGGAGGGGAGCCGAGTCGCGAAATTTAGATCGGCGCGAAAAGTGTCGGCGGCGAGATAGGAGTCGCCTCGAAAGTCTCGGAGGGTGCCATTCCGCTTCCGACCTCGATGGACGCCTGGTTCCCGCGGGCGCCCGCTCCCATTAGGCGCGGGGTGAGGTCATCCCTTTCGCTCGTCTGAGTCATGTTTGGGGATTTTCGCACACACCGTGGGTGTGTGTGCGGTGGAGCCGGATCTCCTGCTTTCGCCTTTCGACCGGTTCGTGTTCGATCGTGCGTGCGTGCTTTTTGGGGACTGCAGTGCGTCGGTGCCGCCGAAAGCGTTCCACGTGTGGTTGCAAGAGTGTAGGCCTAGATCTCGGAAGCCTCGTCCTAAAAATCGCGCACGGTGGTTAGCACTCGTAAATGCGAATTTCTTCGGAAAAAGAGAAAGCGTGGAAAGTACGCGTGAGTTTTTTTTTTTCCTTGGGATTGTATCTCCGCAACAGAAGCATTTCTATCCTTTGTCTCGCCCTTGAGACTTTTCGACCGACTCCCATTACAGTGAATTGCAACTTTTGCGAGACTGCATATTGCCGAGTGGGCCGGAGAAATCCGCTAGGACGAATGCCAACGATCCATTATGGCGCTTTTCGCTTGAAAGCGGAATGGCAGCGCGTTGCCCAAACGTCGCTGCGTCGCATCCCGGCGTGTGACGTCAGAGTAGAGGCCTGCACGGGGAGGCGTTTGGGGTGGAGGGACGTCGGTGCTTGCTCGCGCCGACTTCCGAATTCAAGGTTCTGTAATAAATAAATGCGTATCGAGGAGAGCTGGGTTTGTAAGTGGTTGGTTCTCGGTCGAGGTCCGCGAATGGAACGCGAGAGGGGAGGTCCCGCGGAGGGTTCTACCGGTGACGTCAGAGCCTCGAAAGGCCGAGATATGGGGCGAGATGCATGAAATGGGATCGCTTTCTATGCGTTTGCGTCCCCACGGGCTCCTGTGGGAATAAATTCCTCTGTAGTGGATTCTCGCGGGAGTCCATTACGGAATGGAATCGGTTGCTTTTCGTGCGTGTCTCCCGTCGGCGATTGAGCCGGTGCGAAATTGCGGACATTCTAGCAATTCGTTTCCTTTCCATCGTGCGGATTTGCGAGCCTGCAAACAAGTCGAAATGATCGGTCGTCCAGGCCCTGCAATCTCGTCAACGCTCAAAACTGAGCTGCCGAGAAAGAAAATATTTTCCCTCGCTGCGCGGCGGAGGTTTGAGGAAACGAAACGCCTCCAAAATTCATCCGGAATTTGAATTTCTTCCGGAATTTGAATTCTCACCGCCATCGCTTTTCGATGAAGCAAGCAGCATACATCGGTCATGAACCGGCCGAGGTATCCCAAGGACGACGCAAACTCACTCTGACGTCAATCCCGATTCCTCTCCCTCCAGATCCATGTAAAAAAAAAAAAAATAAAATAAAAATAAAAGACTTGCAACGATGATCTCCAAGGATGCCAAATCGAGTCTGCTGCTGCTGCTGTTCCTGGCGTGGGACATCCTCCCCTGCACGGGGACGGCCTGGGCCTCCTCCTCCTCCCTCGGCCCGCGGCAGAGCCAGCGGCTGAAGAAGCTGCTCGAGAGGAGGCTCAGGGATCTGGACGCGGAGAAGAGGAATCTCATCCTGGATTCGCTGCATCACGATCGGTCTGTTTTTTTTTTTTTTTTCTTATCGGTGACGGTTTCCCATTTTTCGGTGGTTTTTTTTTCGTGGGGCGCCGTCGTTTGAAAAGGAAATGAGGTCTCGTCGTGTCGAGATTCGTCTGGGAGATGCGTTGGATCGTTGCATAGGAGTGGCAGCATTTTTTGGAGGGACGAAATGTTTGACATGTTTGAATGTTTGAATGACATGTTTTACAAAATGACGCAGACCGAGATCGGATCCGATCATTTTATCATCTTTCCCATTTTCTAGACTTCCCTTCCCCCCCCCCCACCTGAGTGTTTTATGTGACTGTGACAATGAAGAAATTTGGAAGTGAGAAGTAAAAAAAAAAAGACTCACACTCGACGCGATACCGTAAGGAAATGTCACATTTTGTCGATTGTTTGCTCTGAGAGTGAAATTAAATCTTCCTTTTCCTTCTCGCTTTACTCTGGAAGAGGAAAACAAGGGAAAACAAGAAAAACTACAGTCGGCGCTTGCATTTTTTTTTTTCGGGCGGTAAATCAAGACAAATATTGCAAAATGGAAAATGAACGTGAGATTCTCATTCATAGCTCGCAGGAGGGTAACTGCCACCTTGTACTGTGTGCCTTTTTTTGTCCTTGATTTTTTTTTCTGCTACCAAGTGGACGTTTTCGTGGGCACGAAACAAAATTTAACGATGGCGATGCGATCCGAGACGACGGTGGATGAAATTATGAACCTGCATGGCAAAGGACGTAATTCCTCATATTTAGTCTTCTGCTCTCCCAAACGCATTCACGATTCCTCACGCCGCGTCGGCCAAATGACAAATGCCCGATGAGTGACAAATGACAAATGCCCGATGAGTGACAAATGACAAATGCCCGATGAGTGACAAATGACAAATGCCCGATGAGTGACATGACAAATGCCCGATGAGTGACAAATGACAAATGCCCGATGAGTGGCAAATGACAAATGGCCGATGAATTAACGTCCAGGGCGCAGGAGGAGGAGAAGAAGAGCGAGCGCGTGGAACGAGAACTGAAGGAGATGTCGCATCAGCTGCAGAGACTGGAGGAGAAAGTCGACTCCGACTCGGAGGAGATCCACAAGCTCGTCTCGAAGCTCGAGAACGAGGTGAGGACTTTGTGACCGCTTGTGACCGCGGGTGACCCAGTGTGAACGTTAAAACTCTGCCGACAGGGGAGGATGGGGCCGCAGGTGGTCGTCGTCGCGGCCGGGGACGAAAGGGGAAACGGGAAGGTGATCGTGAAAACGGATTCCCCGAAACTCCCGCCCGATCTCGGTGAGTCCGCCGACATCATACCTCTCCGAAACGAAACAGATCGAGCGGCGAAGGCGAGGGAAGGGAACGGACGGATCGCTCGGCCCGAGGCCGTCTGACCCTGTCTCGTTCGTGTTAGGACACGAATTCAATGATAGGAGAGGACCATGTGTGGCTCTGCCTCGAACGGGGCGAGGAATTTCGGCTCGTTTTCCCTTTTCATTCATTACCCCCATTATTACCAACTTTCATCGTTCTACATCTACTTTTCGAGAAATACAATTTTACTTTTAGATGAATAATTCTGACACACACTGTATAGATATATATATAAATGAAGCTTGAACCGCGTAATCCGGCAACCCTAGCAACTCGGCTGGCTCACACGACAGATTAAGGGTTCGCAGTGATATTACCCAGAACAGAAACGGGTCGTTTACGGTCGTGTCCGGTCGGCCTTCCCGCGACCGCAGTAGAAACGCGGATCGACGAATCCATGAAGCCGAGGATGGCTTTGGCGAACGTGGTGTTAAACGCAGTGGAAACGAACGAGATAAAACGCGGGAGTGGATATCCATGGCGAGCTATGAGGGGACGTTTCTGCGGGGCGAGTTCAGGGCATGATGGCCGGGGAAGACGAGGGAACATTCAGGGGAGGACAGGATGGATGGCAGACGGGAACATTCAGGGGAGGACAGGATGGATGGCAGACGGGAACATTCAGGGGAGGACAGGATGGATGGCAGACGGGAACATTCAGGGGAG